ACTTGAGAGTTCTCTAACTTGAGAGTTCTCTAACTTGAGAGTTCTCTAACTTGAGAGTTCTCTAACTTGAGAGTTCTCTGACTTGAGAGTTCTGTAACTTGCGACGTAGTTGTAATGTTAAAGACTACAGGATTGTCGACAGTGCCTGTCTGTCAGTGCTGTTGTTTGCTGAAAACATCTAAAGCAACAGCAACAGCTGTCCGAAGTATAATGCGTATTATTGTTTTTAAGTATATGGTATAGTGAGAATCGTTTTTTGAAGACTATTTGCAATGTTTTTTCCAATTCGATAGAAAGGTACCTAGATTGTTGAAGAAGTCTTGACTTGAACTTACGTCCAAGTTTGCTGTTTTGCCAATTCCACTTTGCCAATTCCAGCAAATCTATCGTAACATTAAGGCGTCCTCTGATGCTCAGCAGAAAGAAAAGTTCTCTCCTTCATACGGACGTACAAGCTACCTCTCATAACCACTTTCATTATTTCCCCTTCCTCCCTCCCCCCCCCCTTTTTCCCTTCCCGTTTCTAAATTCAGTTTTAATTCACTCACACGTTCCTCCTCCACTCACGCACGTGCGCACGTTCGCTTCAGGGAGAGTGAGAAGAATCAAATCGACTGGCTCTTGCCTGTTTTATATATAAAATATTATACTATAGAAGTGTTTTACTTATACCCAGTGCACACTGTCAATCGAATCTATCAGATGAGTCGAAACCAGGCAGATTTTGCTTCATGGATGGCAGTGTGCATTTGGTATTACATAGAAGTGTTATACGATAAATGTTGAATGTGCTCAATAGCGTTATACATTGTTGTTCGCACTACCAGCATGCTGCTTGGTCATTTTGTTTAGCATACTTTCTGGAGTTTCTATTTTAGCTATTAATACTGCAGTTTGCGTGGCGTTTTCGAAATTGTATCTTTTTGTTTGTTTTTTTTAGACTTCTGAAAGTTTATTCCTATTTCTTTTTTTTTTCATTCCAACCTTCTTTTGGTTTCACTTCTTCCTCTAGCTTTCGGATTAAAAGACAACCTGTCCACTAATGCGAAATGGCGTGGAGTCAAAGGCTGAACGGCCAACTGTTGCCCTTATTTTTAACATCATCAATGTCTTTAACCACAGAGAAATAAAAAGACAATGCGGACACTTTTTTCAGGGGGGGGGGTCCGTGGGAGGGGGTATATCTGCACCACTTTCGTTACGGTGGAAAGGCAGTATACTTGCTGATGGGGTAATGCTTTCTGCTGGGTTCTTTTGGTTGGGTTTTTTTTTTTGTATTTTGGTATAGGACAGTAATTCATGCGTGCACTTTTAGATTTTTGGGGTACGCGTGCGCGCGCGTGTGTGTGTACGTATATGTGTGTGTATGTGTGTGTGTGTGTGTGTGAGTGTGCGTGTGTATGTGTGCTTGTGTGTGTCTGCGTGTGTGTGTGTTTGTGTGTTTGCGTGCGTGTGTGTGTGTGCTGTTGTATAATTTATCTGAAAGTTGAGACGGCAAAGAGTTGGTAAAAGAGTCAAATTGACCATAAAACATACACTAACAAACAATGTACATTTGTATTGACGTAATCGTGGACATTATTCTTTTATTTTCCGAACCAGATACTTTGAGTTGTATAGTGATACGAATGTGAATCTGTCTGATATTGCTTGATGATGGCTCACGAACAAGTAGTATACCCAATTCCTACATGAAACAATCCCTGATCACGTAGATCTACAATGTGCATGTACCATTGTACGTACCTGCTGGAAATTATATATAACTGGCACGTTGGAGTAACGGGTTGCATGCGGCTGGGTTCGTCCTTGACTAACAATTGGGCTCGTGCATGCGCATTCATTCATTATAATTATGTATTGGTGTAAGCTTAACACTAAATAAGACAATAGTAATCGTTTATTAAGAACCAAGTCAATGGGGGTTTTTTTTAAAGTCTTGGCGGATACATGTTCCTGGCGTCTGTACAGTGACGTCATGTCGTGAACTCATGAATGTACAGTGACGTCATGTCGTGAACTCATGAATGTACAGTGACGTCATGTCGTGAACTCATAAATGTACAGTGACGTCATGTCGTGAACTCATGAATGTACCATGACGTCATGTCGTGAACTCATAAATGTACAGTGACGTCATGACGTGGACTCATGAAATACGCGGCGCGTTCTGGTCCTTCAACAGTACTTTAAAATGTGCTGGTTTGGGACACTTTAAAAAAAAGAGGCCTGTCTTCGCTATTCATACCCAGATAGCTGGAGGTGCCATCTCTGACTAAGAGGTTGACGTGCAATGACCTTCCAGCACACACGGTCAAAAGCTGCCGTTCCACTTTCTACCATACCCAGGCCGGTCCATGTTTTGGTGTTGTCCGTCCATGTTACACTTTGTCTAGCCCCGACTCTCCTGTGCCCAACATCCTTCCTTCGCTATCCATGCAGATTGTTCAGTTCTGG